CAAGCATAGATTTGTGTTGTGTTGCATGTCCAGTCTTTGAAAATGATAGTACTCCATTCTTGAGAAGATGATTTGCTTGAAATCTGATTTTCTTGGCTCGTCCAACTCCAGAGCTGAATTGTGGATTTGGAGAAGGAAGACGGCGGCATGAGGACTGAGCCGTGAGAATCGAGGCGTTGGTGGCAGCAGACTTTACGCCAGACCTTGCTAGTTTGTGTTTTCGATTGTTGTATTCTCGAAGCTCATCCAACATTAGGGAAGGGAACTTGAACTTCTTGCTTTCTGTATGTAACCGCTTGTATTCTTTGGTTGCTTTTGTAATAGCCTCGTTCAACTCCACCCAATCATCTTCAATCTTCTGTTTGATCTTCTGCAGCTTTTCTGGAATCAAAGAATCATTCTTGGATTTCTTTGGTTTTGATCGATATCTGTCAACTTGATCATCTACCCATGAATTGTACCAATCTTCTTCAACTGAGACTAAAGATCCATCATCGGCAGGGACATTGGCAGCTTCAGCCTTGTCTTCTGTATGCTGACCGTCATTGTTGATGTCCGAGTCTACCCAATCACCACTATGTTCTTCCTGATCACTATCTTCAATCTCATAGATATCCACAGGTGCTGGTTTATTTGCTGGATCTGGATCTGCAACTTGTGGTTCCTTGATTACCCAGTTTGACATGAATGTGATATTTTTTCCAACAGCTTGTCGAGCCTTCTGTTGGCGGTTATGTCGGGTCTGCTTGGGTTCAGGCTTAGGGACTAGCTTTTTATTTGATGGATCCAAATGTGCCACAGGTTGGTTGTAATGCTGTATTGCTTTTCCAAACCGGTTCCTACGTTTCCCTAGAGTGGAGGTGGAAGTATCACGATTTGTGAAAACTGGCCATAGTCTTTCTTGCAGTTGATCATCAAATTCATCTTCATCTTCAGTGTCCGCAATCTCATTTTCAATAAACATCACAATTTGAGCCTCTTGATCAATTCTTTGACGTTCTGCTAATCGGCGTGCGCGTTGGGCTCTCTTCAGTTTACTGACAACCATTTTGTTGATGTAAGAATGCTGGTGTGGTAAGGTGTTTGGTGTGTTGAGGATGATCTTGGACAAGACAAAAAACTGCAAGTTACAAATGTATTGTTCTGACACGTATCCAATTATCATGTTGAATATATGTACTTATGTTACTTGTACATATTACTTTTGCTAAAAAGCTTGGTCCGATCGAGAAAAAATAAAACAGAATCAGACCCAGATTTTGCCGCAGCAGTCACAACACAGCAGAGAGAAGGATTTTGGGGGTGCTGTCTGGTCCTGTCGGCTCTGGTGCGACCTCCCTACCATTCCGCTGGTCCATCTCCCATCTCTAGGCTCTAGTTCCCCATCACCTTGACCTCTTTCTTTGCACACTCTTGCAAGATGACGTTGTCAAACTCTTGGTAAGTCACTTTACGAGTTACATTAAAATATATCTCTTCTTTATTATCTATTGGTGTGCTTTCTAACAAACTTTTTGTATTGTTCGATTCAGATGACCATCCTCACAACACAGTCTGATATCACTGTAAACATCATTCAACTTCCCCAATTTGGCAGAGGAAAATGATTAATAGTACAGTTTTTCATAAAAGAATCTAATACTGCACACCTGGGCCATTTCACCCACACTACATATGTGCAGCAAGCTAAGTCAATAGTTGTCTATCATGTACATACAGGTCTGCTCAGTTTTTTGCCCATCAGAATAAATAAATCACATGTTATACCACATGTAACTTTTTCGACTTTGAAATTTTTTTCCCAAAAATTCACTACATATAATTCTGTAGCTGCTCAGGCAATATTGTTGAAGCTATGTCTTAGTAACAGAAAGTGTGTTACATGCAGTTGAGTTGATGAGATCACACCAAAACATTGAGTCAGTGTATGTAGTCAATCTTTTGGAAGCTTTTTTCAATCTGAAAGAAGTTACAGCATGTATTACATATGAATAACTTGTCCTGATGAGCAGATAACTGAGCAGAACTGTATGTACATGATAACCACATATTCACTGAGCCTGCTACACATATGTAGTGTGGGTGTTATGGCTCAGGTGTGGAGTGATAGACCATTTTATGACAAATCATACTCCCAATCATTTTTCCCTGCCCACTTGGGGAACCCGAATAATGTCTGCAGTGTATCCGTGTTCGTCTTGCCTAGCTTTGTCTCACCATCACCTCACCAGCTCTTTCTTCCCACACTCTTTCAAGAAGGTTTTGAATTGTTGGATTGATCATGACGAGCATTTGTTAACAAATCAAAAAAAGAAATGATGATGAAGTTTTTACGGAGCTCACAACTGCTGTGCTAATGTGAGAGAAAAGCCAAGTTGAATGAGATGTATCCTAATATCCTCAACTTGTCCGGTGCCAAGCTATGCTGAATAACAATTGGATATCTCATGAAAGATATCTCAAATGTGAGTGACTTTTCAAGGTAAGCAAGATCATCAGAAACATCGACTGGTTATGACCAATATCAAAACCAATCAATTCCTGATTGATTCTCCTACAAGGCAATCCTATGATCGCAACTTGAGAACAATCTCAAATATCTTATGAAATAAAACCTAAGATCTCATCGGGTTTGAAGTCAAGATTAACAACGATCTCATTTTTTTGAAGACATTCCACATCCAAGAATCGATTGATTTTGCTCGGTCAAAACCAATCAACCTTCCTATGCTCCTACAGAAAAGATTGTGAAAAATCTCAGCTCTCTTGTGTAATCTAGAGACTGATTTCACAAACAAGATCAAAATCAATCGCTTTGCTTGTGATCCTTTGAAGAAGATTGAAACGATTTCAGTTTCACGCCAATCTTATCTATAATTCCTTGTTTCTAATTTTTATACGATGACAATCTTCTCTAACTACAATTCATCTAATACAAACAAACGAGCTCCCCTTCAAATATCTGAAAACCACAATGATGATACAAAATTCCGTTTGACTGGATTTGACCTCGTAGCTAAAACTTGTGATCTCGAGACAACAAACTTTGACACATTGAATCCAAAATCGATAGGGTTCAACTTGGGAAAGTATGGTGGTATGTATTGTAGAAGGATACCTAGAAATGATATTGGGGATCATCAGTAAGTTCAATTAATTGCACTGAGGAGACAAATGGGAGGAATTGAAGTAAAAAAAGTGTACCTTTTTCCTACAGATCAGCAATGGGTTGGCCACGATTGATAAACACGTTTCCAGGATGTGAGAAGCAGCAAGCGACTGAGTTGAGTTTAGTGATGAAAACAAAGTAATCAACAGGGACAGGGATTTGAAGGATATGACTGGGAGCTCGCACCAGAGCCAACAGCACCCCCAAAATCTTTCTCTCTGCTGCGTTGTGACTGCTGCGGCGAAATCTGGGTCTGATTCTGTTTTATTTTTTCTCGATCGGGCCAAGCTTTTTAGCAAAAGTAATAAATATCTCAAAATACAAAGTGAACTTCATGTGACAGCCTCCAAAATAACAAAAAATCGTAGGTATTTACATGCACCTATGATGGTATGTGATCACTTGGCCAAGATTTGGGACCGGTACCAGCCCCGAAAGCCCCGTTGGACCTCCTAGTACGGCTTTGATGTTACCAACTGCAAGCACTTGAAACGCAGCTGTGAAAGGAACCCTCATATTCCCAACTTTTGAATTCTGTGTTGACTAAATCCTCCACCCAATTCCATTTTGAGAACCTGGTCAAAAGAGTCGACAAAAAGCCACGTTGACGAAGAAAGTTCTGCTTTAAAGGTGTGCAGGTGACCAGGAGCAAGAGCCTGCAAACACTTTGCCAGAAGCAAGTTGCGAGGAAATCAAGTCTGGATGACTAGGTGTGTGATTACGAGCTTGGTACCTGAACCCACTGATGTTAGTCACTTTAAGAAGGCATCTCAGGAGGATGGACAAATTCAGCGTTACTTTTGCGGTCCGGACACTGCAAGACGGAAATTGTGTAGTGCAGTTTGAAGGTTGAGCAATTGGTGTCAGAGACTTCGATGGCAAGACATTGATTGCTCAAAGGACGCGGCATAGGTAAGAGACGCAATTGCAAGAAAAGTCAAGCACATCACAAATACAACGACCCAACAAACATCACAAAAGGTTACGGTACTCAAAGCTACATAGTTACACGTATATAGTTGTCGTATATACTTTTTTTTGGCGGGGAAAATAAAACGAATATACTTTTGGACTCGTTTTCCCCGCCAAAAAAAACTATGTAGCAAAAAGTATGTACGCGTACATACTTGCTTTGAGTACCGTAACCTTATATAGAAAAAAATGGTACAAGTTCAGAACGTCACGAATTTCCGGCCACTTCCACAGCACAAGCACAAGAGCTCAAACAAAGTCGAGACTCAAGGCAGCACACGACAAAACCCAATACAAAAAAATGTAAAGGAGGTGGAAAGAAAAAGCCTAAGGTCGTCGAGCTCGTTCTTTTCAAAAAAGAGAACGAGAAGGTTCTCGCTTAGATGAAATACGTAGACTTTCAATCATCAACACTTGTAAACACTGTGGCTCAGTTGAGCTAGTGAGACAAACAAACGGGTATCTACTGTAAATAGATCCTGAAGAGCTGTGATAGGAAAGAAGCAAACGATGAGAAGGAAGAGAGAAGCAGTCAGTGAGAATGATCTAGGTTGTGTAGTGTGAAGTGAGGTTGTGGAGGATGAAGTGAGGGTAGGGGGGAGGATGCTACTCACTTTGGTCTTGGAGAGAAGCGGAAGGATGGCAGAGAGGTCGGTTTATATACGATTCGGTTGTCTACAGCTCAATGGCCAGCTTGTGGGTCCAAGATCTGCTGCGCCGAAGTAACTCACGCCCGTATTCTCAAACCAACCCGTCGGCCAACCTTGACCGGTCCTCAACTGTTTTCTTTTACCACTGGCACCACTTTCACAAATTTCCTTAAACTTCAATTCGTACAATCACTCCTTCAACTTTATAAATGACCCACCAAAGAATCTTTAAATTTCCAAATACGATCCCATCATGGTATATAGGACATATGGCAAAAGCCATCAAAGAAATCCAATCGAAACTTAATCAAATTGATTTAATTATAGAAACGAGAGATGCAAGATTACCATTATCTAGTATTAATCCGAAATTTGAAAAATTAATTCAAACACATTCTAACAATCGAGACCAAGAACGCGAACAAGAATACGATCAAGGAAATGATCAAAGAAGAACGATCAAGAAAAGTTTACCTAGTAGATTGATTGTTTATAATAAAAAAGATTTAGCTGATCCAAGATTAGAAAAGGTAAGAGTAAATCATTTTCTTTTCCTCTTGTTTTGAAACACTTTATTTGTAAGCTGATTATGATTTTCTTTGTATTCTTTGATTTTTGGGTGCTTTGATGGGTGGGGGGTTTATAAATTGGATAGAATAGCCTTTAAAAGAAGCATTTGCGAAATCAGGTCAAAGAGTTTTATTCACCAATACAAGACTCGATCAAGACATAAAATCAGTTCTATATCAATCAATAGGTCAATTCACAATACTCAAAAACCTTCAAACCCCCTCCCCCACACAAAAAAAATTGAACTTTTGAAACCCGATGATTTTTTTTGTATATTTTTGAATACAGAAATCGTTAAGTCTAGATACCATTCAACTGGTCCTTTAACTTCATCTGATATCAATGATCAATCTAAAAATCATCATCATAGAAACCAATCAGATAGTCTTTCAAAAGGCTTCAAAATCATGGTCTGTGGAATGCCAAATGTAGGAAAATCAAGTCTTTTAAACGCTTTGAGACGTGTAGGATGTCAAAAAGGTAAATCCACCCCCAAAAAAACATTTCTCTTAACTTACAAAAAACAAAAAGCTAATTCAAACCTTTTCTTTTTTTTGGATAGGTAAAACAGCTTCAGAAGCACCTATGCCAGGTCATACAAGATCAATAGGTGGTATGGTCAAGATACTTGAAGCTTGTAAGATGTCATATGGAAAATCAGTTTATATGATCGATACACCTGGTATCATGCCAATTTATTTAGGTCAAGGTGATGAAGCTTCTGCTATAGCTTTTAAAATCGCAATCACAGGTAAGCACCAAACTAAAACTGAAACTGAAACTATTTGATTTCGTTTTGTTTATACTACGAAAAATGATGGGTTTAAAACGTTGATGGTGTTTGTTTTGGTTTTTCGATAGCTGGAATTAAAGATTCTTTATTCGATTCATTTGACCTTTCATCATACTTACTACACATCCTAATCCAACGTTATTCAATCCTACCCCACACGCCCAACGAGATCTCTCAAACCTTATCATTAAACTCATCACCAGATCTAACTTTAGTTTCATCCAATCCAAACCTAGAATTACCGATTGAAGACTTCTTGAAATCGATTTCGATTCGAATCAAAGCATTAGAGAAAGGTGCAATACCTAATCTAGAGATCGCTTCACAATACCTTTTGAAGAGTTTTAGGGATGGGAAGTTTGGGAGATGGACTTTAGATGAGTTGGGTCAAGATGAAGTTGATATGGATTTAGGTTTAACTGATTCAAAGGAAATTCAAACTAATTCGAATTCGACTTCAATCGATTTCCATTCACGGGTCTTTCATCGAGTTGATCAGTTTTTGAGGTCTGATGATCATGAGAAATTTCAAAGTCAAACGGCTATTAAGATGAACGAAAGAAGAAAGAATAAACAAATTCAAAGGTCTCGATCGTTGAGTAATTTACAAAAACGTAGATCGAAAGGATAATCATTTTGAACCAATTGAAATTCATCATGAAAGAAGTGATTCTAAATTGGAGTATGTATGCTTGGAACAAGAAGAAGAAAATGCTTGTGGATGTTGAACGTTTTGAGGATTTGTGATCAATTGAAAAAGCTTGGCTTGAATATATTTTGAACTTTGAGGAATTTGTAAATACTTTTGATATCTATTCAGTTGATTGATTTATTTACTTATACTGTGTACAGCGAATAAGACATCTGATCGAATATCCAATCATATTTTTTGTTTTGTTATCTACAAGCCAATTCTTGAACTCATCTTACAATGTCATCTTTTTGTTTAAAGAATGTTTCTTTTTACGATGGTCTTAGCCAAAGTGTAGCGTTCGTTAAGAACTTCTGATTTGATTTACGTTTGTAAACCTCGAATTTCAAGATTTTGGAGAATTGTTAAGCACAATCGAGACCCAAGGTAAGAATCATCAATAATAAGATCGATTAACGAAAAGAACTTGATCAAAATTGATTTGAAATCTAATCTCTGAATTCCAAAAACACAAATCTCCCTCTCTCTCAAAAGGAAATCAAACACTTTCTCAAAATCGATTTTGAAACGCGTAAGAATGAAAAAATCAAATCAAATTAAATGATTCAAAACCAAGATTTCTCTTGATGAAAAAACTTTAGTTGATCCAAAAAAAGAATCATTAAAAATCAAGCAAGATATAGAAGAGGAAAAAGGGAAAAAGGAATAAGAACAGAAATCAAAGTCTTGAGGCGAAGGAAATCGGCTACAAATTTCAAAAAAAAGAGGTTATATGGTTAAAAGTGAAGTAGAAGTAAAAGTAAAAGTAGTAGAAGAGAAAAAAAAACACGCGTTGGATGTTTTTTTTCTTCGGCTTCAGAATAAACAATCACATAAAGCTTCTTCTGCACAACAACTAATGAAATCGAAAGGGGAAAAAATAGACTATATTAGCTTGTGAAACAGAAACGGTTTTGAGGGAAACGAAAGGAAAAGATATAGATAGAGAAGGAAAAGGAAGCTGACCAAAGACAAGCACCGGCTAAACAAGCCAAACAACCAGTACCACCACCCCCACCTTTCTTTTGCTGAGGTTGAACATAAACCTAAGAAAGGAGAAATCCTAAAGGTAAGTGAAACCGAAAAAGAGAAAAGAGGCGGTCAAGAGTGACGAACAGGTTGTTGTTGTGGTTGGTATCCGTAAGCAGGTTGTTGTTGGTAACCTTGAGGAGCACCACCTGGTGGAGGATAATAGCCTCCTTGTTGTTGTTGTGGATAACCTCTGTGTTTTGGTAGAACCAAGGAAATGGATGGTCAACTTAGATGAGTTCGATTTGATGAGATGTGTGTAGAGATGAATGACTAACTGAGGAGGAGCGTATTGAGGTTGTTGAGGTCCTTTGCTGTTGGGTTGGGTGGGTTTAGTAAGTTATTGGATTTGATTTGAGTTGGAGTTGGAGTTGGATGACTTAGGAAAAGACTGACTTGTAGTAATCGTTGGCTGACATTGTTGGAGGTTATGAGTTTGGTTTGGTTTTGGTTTTGACTGTTAGAGGTGGATGAAGGAAATGATGATGATGATGAAGATGAGCTTAGAAATGAAGAATGATGAAATCGAATGGAATGACTTACGATTTAGTTTGGTTTTTCAGATAAAGTGGATTGGATTGGATTGGATTGGATTACTAAGAAAAGAAGCAGAGAAAAAGGGGAGAGAAGTTCTAGAACTTTAAAACTCGAATTGGATTTAATCCTCACAGTCGCACTAAACAACGGTTACAGCACAGCACAGCGTGGTACTAGTACTAGTAAGGGTTGGGCGTGGAAGTGGAAGTGTGAAATGGTAAAATATACACAGAATCTCAGTTTAAACCGATTTAAAATCACAACACAGCCTACCAACCCATCCCATCCCATCCCATCATCCATACTCTCACAGCCAACTTGCTTTTATCAATTCAAACTGATCAACTGATCAACCCAATCAAAACTTCAAAACTGATCTAGTTTGAACACCAATCATCATTTGGTTCATCATTCTAGGTAGGCTGCTCTACATACATAACATAGATGGTCACTGTTACGTACTGCTTACGTGTAGATAGGTTAAATCCCACTCAACTAAACTACATTATCAAAAACTACATTTTAATCGAATCCGATCCAAGAACTTAAACCTCTTCATTAACACCTTTCACATGCATATGATCCCATATGTAGATCTTAATAACCTAAATAAAGAACTTGATACAACATGATTTGTAATCATTCCAAAGTTGCCAAACCTGCTTTTGAGTCTATGAATTTACTAAAAATGAAAAATCAATCAAGAGTCAAGACCTACAAAGCCAATAGCTTCTTCTTTACCAAACATCAATCTCTTACACGAATTGCAAAGAAAAGCTCATCATACAACAAATCATGTACTACACTAAACTGAATTCAACCAAAACTCCAATCAATCTCAAAACAAAAAAGATATTACCATATGTTGACCAAAACCATACATTCTAGGTTTAAAGACATAAATACCTTCCTTTTCCAACTAGCCTCACGAGCTTTATTTCTTCAATCATTCCCTTGACTTATAGAATCCGATGGTTCAATTAAACCTTTGACTCCGACTGAAAAGGCTTGAGTACCTATTCCAACCTGATAGATTGCCATCGATTTATCTTCTATGGTTCTTCCTATCTTACTTGGATCTCTTCCCATTTTAGATAATAAGATGGCTCCCTTTGATTCGGGACAAAAGCCGTCAATCTTTTCTTCTGGTTTGAGTGGGGTTGAACATGCTTGCGTACGTGATCGGCTTGAAGTGAGATTCGTTGGTCTACATACGTAAGTTGGCTCGGTTTATGTATTTGGTTGGAAAAGGTCGACGGTCTAGATCAGTTTCGGTTAAAAGGGTTTCTTCTGGGCTTTCAAGATTCGCTCGACTAGGGTCTTTGGTACACCCGTCTCCAATCAATTCGTTGTACAATCTGCACGTCTCTGTCTTTTGTTTCTTTTCTCGAATCGTTTTCATATCTTGTGGTGTCGTTGCATGAGCATCATCTTTGGTTTTCAGAGTGCTGCTAGTGATGATGGTTCTCGTTCGTGTATCGGTACTGAGTCTTAATCGATTACTTTCCATCGGATAAAAGTGCAGATGATTCACACGATGATGGAAGTTTTGTTTTCTACTTCTGATAAGCTTTTTAGTTCAGTATCTTGAAGGTCTTTTGAACCAGCTTGGACTTCTTCATCTTATCCATCTGATCCGTCTTCGTATTGTACTAGTTTACGTGGGTTGGTTCGGGTTTCTGATCCTAGAGAAATTGTTTTTACTGATCTCCTTCTTTCCATTTGTAATTTCGTACGTATTGGGAAGTTTGTAAGGGTTTTTTTGGAGAGACTAAGATTGATTTGATGAAGATAAAAAGGAAAAAAAGATAGAGAGTTTAGTAAGGTTTGATTGAAATTGATATGGTATAAGGAAGTATCACAAAGAAGTGAAAAAAGGCCGAGCTATGTATTCCAATAAAGACCATTTGATGGATCTAATACCCAAAGAGATTCTTGGGTTAGATTCGATTCTTGTTGAGTTTTGGATTTGGAAGATGTCATTTTGATTGATCGATATCTTGATTGATGATCAGCTTGAGATATAGTTGAGGTTCAGGTTTCCTGGCTGGACCTGAAATCAGAAAGACTGGAGGAAAACAAGGTGTAGTTTGGGTACCCGAGTACCGATGCGGATCAGTGGTGCTCGGGTACTCTACTCTTGAGTCTTGACATTCCAAGTTTATGAAACAAGACATCGATCAAAAAGAAGATCAGAATTTTTCATCGTTTATCAACCCAAACCCCCAAAAAACACACCTCGACTAGCCCTAGAATGCCATCGAAACGCCCGCCGGGCATCGATGAGGATAATCCATCGCCTCACCCGAAAAATCCGAGGCCAAACCAAGGACCAATGGACCCAAACGCTATGGAGGATGTGCTCACGTCCTTAGCTAACAACAGCTCGAGCTCAACCGATGCGCTCTTACGTACAGTGATCCAAATGCTGTCAATGTTTATGGAGACCATTAAAAATTTGAATGATAAGATCGACAAACTAGAAGCCGAAAGAAACAAGGAACCAACAACGAGCCCACGTACGATCATTCAACCGCAACTGCCCCCTTCTTCTGGCCACCAAACAACCAGACCAAACGCTTGGATTAATCCTTACCCGAAACGAACACAACCCACTGGCCCAAAGCCTCCTCCTAAGAACGTAGAAATCAACAACTTTAGAGCGGCCACTCTGATCATACACAAAGCCCCCGGATTAGAACCCTTCAAAGGCATGAGGAGCCCGGAAATTGTACGAAGCATTAACTCAACCCTAGCCGCATTAGACGCGAAGGTGAACGATGTCCCTGTCAAAATTAGAGGCGCTCTAGTACTCAACTCAGGTGACATTTTAATGAATATGGATAACCGCCTCATGAAGAACTGGCTCTTGGAGAACAAGCACATCTGGACCAAAATGGCTCACAAAGACTTTGAAACGACACAGGCTAGATACCCGATTTTATTTAACTTTGTTCCCGCCGATATTGATATCAACAGCGAAGACTTCCCTAAAAAACTCAGTTTAGAAAATGACATACCAGAAGAAAGTATTCACTCAGTAAGATGGATCAAGAACCCGGCAGACACTAAAAAGAAGTGTGGCACAATCGTTCTCAATTTATTAGATAAAGAACTAGCACGAAAAATAGAAAAAGGAGGACTTTATGTAGATTGTTATAGAATTAAAAGCAAACACTATGAACAAGGCCCAACTATGTGTTTTAACTGTCTCGACCTCTATCATACACACACCTCTTGCACAAATCAGCCAAGCTGCGCCAAATGTGGTGACCCACATAGCTCACTTGAATGCGCTAACAATGACTCTGAACAGGTCTGTGCCAGGTGCTATAACTTCGACAGCCTCAAAACTAACAGCAAGATTGACCGTTTCACCGACAAATACAACCACTCACCAAAGAGCCTCAACTGCCCGTTACGCAACACCCGTTTCAAAATCACCCCCTCACCTATAACCAATGAATCATAGATACGATCAGCAGCAATCCAAAAGACCACCATCCCCTTACAACTCAGACATGGAAAACGACCCCTCGGACCAGATGGATTCAAACTCAGATATTCCCTTATCCCTAAATAAAATTTCAATTCTACATTTCAATTGCCATAACTCAATGCAACATACTCATGAAGCTCTCACGTACACCCAATACTCGATCCTCGCGCTTCAGGAGCCTTGGTTCAATAGTCATTCTTTATCTTTCCCTTACCATGAAGCCTGGCACTGCATCTCGGCCTACGACTATCACCCCACGGCCTGGTCGGACAGGCCACGGGTGTGTATTTATATCTCAAAACTTATACCAACCTCGCAATTCACTATCCTACCTAGTCGATCGGATATTATCCTGGGTATCAACATCAGAGGAGAATCGTCCAGACTAACCAAGCTACGGGTAGTTTCCTGGTACAATCCACCTGGCTCTCACAGAGGTCTCCTCTTTCTCAATAACTGGCTGAGTAAGAATCACAATCGACAAATACCCACAGCCATTACGACCGACTCAAATCTACATCACCAATTATGGAACCCACCTAACTACACCTCAACAGATACTCAAGCCAAGAAACTGATTCACTTACTCAGCTCTAAAGGCCTTAAACTCATCTCACCAAAGGGAGTCCCAACCCGTTTTTCCGCGGGAACTCAACCCACGGCCATTGACCTAATTTGGGCTAGCTGGAACCTCGCAGGAAAGGTGCTCAGTTGTAAAGTACTAACCACCGCTTTAGCCTCAGACCACTTCCCAATAGAGACTTTCCTTGACCTGGCATTCATACCTCCAGTAGAATCTCACATTTCCCTGAAAATAACTGACATTGACATCGCACTTTTTCATAACAGTTTAACAACTCAACTTAACCCCCTTTCACCTAATTACAGCACTCGAGAAGACATTGACACAGCCATCGCATCACTTTCAACAACCATCTTAGAATCAGCTCATAACCAGGGTAGGAAAGTCAAAACCGATATCAATAAATACAAAAGCTGGTGGGACAAAGAAGTTCTGAACCCGATTCTCAAGAATCGAAACCGAGCCAGAAGATGGTGGCTTCAATCGCACTTACCAGAAGCCAAACAAAGCTATGAAGAATGGCAGAAGTATTTCAAAGAACAAGTCGTGAAGGTCAAAACATGCCACTAGAAAACATTCCTAGCAAACTGTTTGGGTAATGATTCATTCAAGGCGTTCAGATATGTCAAACCGAAATCGACAGGCGAAATCGCCCCACTCAAGAAGCCAGATGGATCAACTGCCACAGAACGAGACGAACAGGCCAAACTGCTTTACTATGGTACCTCGGTTGCTCACATCGAGGCTGACCTGTCGGATATCCCGCGTGAACACGAGAATGAAATAGAACCGAATGAACTCATCTTTCCACCACTGACACCGGACGAACTCAATAGAATTGTCGAACAGCTCCCAAATCGCAAAGCCAACGGGGGAGATCAACTATCAAACAAAATTCTTAAGCTAGCACTACCAGCAATAGGCGCAGAATTATGCAAAATCTTCAACGCGTGCTTTAAGCTAGGATATTTCCCCAATTCTTGGAGATCGGCGATCACGATCATCATCAGGAAAAACGGCAAGGACTCTTACTCTGAACCCAACTCGTACAGACCGATTGCGCTCCTAAGCTGCTTGGGCAAGACTCTATAAAAGGTGATCACTAGTAGAATCACTTACTGGGCTGAATCAAGAAACAAAATAGCATATGGTCATATGGGAGGAAGAAGGCAAAGATCCACTGACGAAGCACTACTTATCCTTACCTCTTGGATAAAAGAGAAGTGGCGTAAGGATGAAATCGTGACGGCCCTATTTTTAGATGTCAAGTCGGCTTACCCGTCAGTACACAGAGAACGACTCATTCATACTCTTCAGACCCATGATTGCCCGAAGTATCTCACACATTTAGTTCAAGGTTTTCTATCTGAAAGAACAACCAACCTCCGCCTTCAGGATTTTCTGTCTGAAGAATTTGATATTGATAACGGCCTCCCTCAAGGCTCCCCATTATCGGTAATACTCTACATCCTGTACAATTCCTCTCTCTTGAGCCCGGGAAGACTTGAACCAGCAGCTCGAAATATCTTGATAGGCTTTATCGACGATGTAGTACACCTAGTGTCTTCCAAATCCATCGAAGAGAACAACTCAAGGCTCCAACGCGAGGCCAAAAGATCCCTACGATGGGCCACCTCTCACGGAGCGATCTTCGACAAAAAGAAAGCCCAAGTCATACATTTCACTAATAAACGTATTCAAGACCCGCCAGATTTTCAGTTTGGTGAAGAGTCACTAAGACCAAATCAAGTAGTTAAATGGCTTGGAGTGTGGTTTGACACAAAGTTGCTATTCAATCATCATCTCAAGCATGTCAAGAAAGTCGGTGATTTCACGATTCACCAACTGCAACGCCTGAATAAATGCTACTCGGGTCTCTCACCAAGAGAAACCAGAAAGCTTATCATGGCTATTCTACTCCCTAGAATACTCTACGGTAGCGTAGTATGGCTGACAGGTAAAACTTCTATTAAGGCCTCTAAAATACTGACACAATTACAAAATGCTGCTCTCAGGATAATCTTAGGAGCTTTCAAGGGCACATTGAATATTATGATCAATCATGATGCCTACTTTACTCCTTTCAGCGTCATAGCGACAAAACGCCACCACAACTTTCTACTCAAAAGACTGACAGCGCCAGATGATCATCCGACACGAGCGATCATCAGTCACGAACTGAAAATGAAAGTATCAAAACACAAAGGTCCGGTTCAAGACATCCTAAATTTTGATAGCTTTCAGGTATTGGCAAAAGAAAAGGTGGAAACGATTTTTGCTCATTCATTAGTACCATGGACAACAAATTTAGGTCAGGTATTCAACCTAGATAAATCAAAGGATGAAGCCAAGGAATTAGTGCCTCAACAAGTCGTAGAGGAAGAAAATCGTAACTCACTGATAATCTTCACGGATGGATCGGTAAGTAAGGAAGGTGGAGGAGCCGCAGCGGTCACGAGATCAACACATAGGGCGCTTTCCATTAGATTCAAGGATAACTTCTCGAACCACGAGGCCGAACTGTTAGGCATCGTGCAAGCAACAGAATTAGCTAACGAACTCCTTAGAAGACAGGCTCCACCTGCGTCTGACCTTGTCATATTCAGTGATAACCAAGGAGTTTTACGCCTGGTTCACAATGCTCCAAGACAGTGCTCAGGACAACACTTAGTGATCAAAATACGTACTAACTTGAGACAGTTACCTGCTAATGTTAAATTTCGTTTCTATTGGACCCCAGGGCATGCGGACATCGAACTGAACGAAAAAGCCGACAAGGTAGCAAAGAAGGCAGCGGAGAACCATGCGAACGCTATCCCGATCCCGACGAGCCTAGGCAGCATCAAGAAAAGAACCAATGATCAATTTAACATCAAGAACGTGACCTTAACAACGGGGAGAAATTATTTTAGAACCAAGGCCAAAGACATCTCAAATAGCTTACTAAGTATGGAAAAAGGTAGTGCTGCAGCAGTCTTTCAACTGCGGGCAAAACATAGCCCCTTAAACGATCATTTGTTCAAGCGAAAGATTTCAGAATCTCCTCTATGCCCACATTGTAAACGGAAAGAAACGACTGAACACTTTCTCTTGTATTGTGACAGGTATAAAAGAGCACAAAAAATTCTCAGGTCTCGATTAAAAAAGGAGGGGGTCAAAGTTAACTGGAATAGTGCCAGTAAACTACTTGATTCTCCAAAGGCTTTTCCGTTTTTAGCTGATTTCATTCTCAATTCAAATCGTTTCACTTTTCTTCGCTCATACACACAGGAGAAACAACCCAAAAGAACGGCCACGAGGCAAACAATCACTTTGATGTAGGAAATTGGATCACCTCTGAATCTCCCAAAAAAAAAAAAAGAAACGTTTTCGCAAGATTTATGTTCAATCCCTTAATGGGTTCGGGGTCCTCCAAGTATCGTCTTGGATCCATAGGACTCCAAGACATATCTCGATCATCTGTCAATAGACAAATTCTCACTACCTATACGTAACGAAATTTGTTCAATCCCTCAATGGGTTCAAAAGCCTCCAAGTACCGCCCTGGATCCATAGGCTTTCAAGACACTTTTCTCCCAGTCTTAGTGGACTCTAAAACACCAGTCTTACGTATCTGATTATGCTCAATCCTCTTAAGGTTCACCAATCTCCAAGCAACGTCTTGGGCTCATAGGTTGGTGAGGCATCAATCGAGGGTTTTTTCTACTAGCTCATAGCACCAACTTGGACAGCTTCTCAATTATGGGAATGCGCAAGAAGCTCTTGAGACTAATGACTCAAAAGAGGCTCATCGCTTTCCTTCGGGTGGGCTAAATGCCTAAAGATGGGTTTTTAAAAAAAAAAAAAACGTAAAAAAAAAGGGTTTAATAGCTTCAAGCTTGGATTCATACAGAGGTCTTCTTAAAAGCCTAAAAAGTCAGTGATATGTTTGTTTTTTGATTAGATGGTCGTGTCTTTAAGGTGTACTAGTCCTATATTCTTGTATTGTTCAGATAGTGTTATATGCAATTATGCCAAAAAGCACTTTAAAAAAAAAAAAAAAAAAAAAAGTTTATGAAAAAACGATGGCTATCTTAATAATTGCGTAAAGATAAATAGATACCTCTAATTCTTGTACATACTCGACTAGATGACCTCTTTTGCTGGTGAGTTAAGATAGTGTGATTTGCTATAAAGCAATTTCACACTTAAAAAAAGTCCTCACAGCACATCTGAGATGAAAAAAAAACCACAGGCTTGACAGATGAGTAGGTGTGAGTGAACAGGTTATATGACCACTAAATTCATACAGTCAGTCAAGATAATAGCACCTAGACCAACAGTTACTTCGGCTCTGGGATTTACCAAATGCTCTTCATGCAATAGCTTTGAGGAATTGTTTTATAAGCTTACAATTAATTGATGTGATCCAATTCCATTGTTGATTTATGTGCATCATTGCATTCAACTCAGTCTGTCTCTAAGATTTGGTAGCTTTATTTGTAGATTGAGATTTGAAATGGGTTTGGTACCATTAGATTCCTTTGATATGATTAGGCAATCTGATTGAAGTTCATTAGAGAATCAAATTCAATAGGATTGAGAAATCAGTCTTACAAATTCAATCTTCTCTGAGTCTTAACATGTTAGATTTTTGGTGATGAAGTTTACATTTCAATTCAATTGTTTGACTCTGAGTAAAAGTTCATTTGGGTAAATTATCAGTTTTTACAACTTTTTGAAGATGCAGATTTTACCAAATGTGAGGTGATTAAGTTTTGGTTTTAAGAGACATATACACAAGACTAGGATGAAGATTGGTTTCATTGAGATCAAGACACGGATCTTGGTAATCAAAGACTCTGATACTTTGAAAAAGAAAATGGGATTTGTTGAACTCATTGAATGGAGATATGAAAGGAGAGAAAAAGAAGACTATGTTGACTTCTAGATTAGAGATGAAGACGTGAACAATGAGACTCAGAACAAGTCTATTCCAATAGGGAGATTTTTCATTGACCCATCCGGCTTTCAGTCCAACTTTCTATTTATTTCTGTTTTGAACCCATTCATTCCATATGTCAGTGTTGGAATGCCTCCTATGTATAAGAACTTCAATCAGTCAGGTCGCATATTCAAAATATGTATGGTCAAAAACTGGTTCAAAAACTAAACCACACGCACTCTATCTCCTCAATAGCTTTGGAAGCTTCAGAGGCTTGTGATGGATCATGGGTGGACTGATGACTTTTTACTGGTACTTTTGTCTTGATAATATCTGAAATCTTTTGAAATTTGTTGGCTCCTGTTTCTTCGGAAGATTCAGATTCCACTTCTTCTACCAGAGATTTAGAAGTCCTATGATCAACTTCTTTGACTTGAGATTGACGACCTTTACTGATGTTTTCTATCGTGGTTTTTCCCTTTTCATTTTTGAGCCATGGGCGCTGAGTAGTTAAAGGAACTATGACAAGAAGGAAAGTACCAAAATACAATACTTTCAAAAGATTGAAGAGTCTCATGATGGGTAAAATACAGCAATTGTTTTTCAAATCACTCTTTGATCTGGAAGCTGGGATTTGAGACAATCTTTTCAGTTGATCAGACCTCAGTTCTTATATCTCCAAATTCCTCGAGCTGGAGAGTCCTTTGAAGCTTGTCTGTCTGCAACTCTGCAACCAGATAATGTCGAGTTTCACACCTCAAAACTTGGCTTTTTTTGAAATCAAATGTATTTATAGTGCCATACCTCGCTTGTGGCGTGTAAAAAATCTCGGTTGATATCCGCTCGATCAACTGTCTACCGGAACAAGCCGGTGAAGCTTTTAAACATGTATGGCAAAACAATTGGATGCAAGTACCGGAATCCCCACACCAGGCTTCTGGAAATGGTGAATTGCAAGGATGTGGATGTTGGTAGCCACATATAGGTGTGTTTCCGTGGATGATAGGGATGTTGATAGCCACACATAGGGGTGTTTTGGTGTTATCTTCAACAATGAAATCAGCTTTGATCAATAAACCTCCACAAGACTAAACAGCCAATGGGTCTTCTGCCCTTGTATCACTTGAAATGGGAAAGGGTGTAGTCATATCCTTTTATCATCTTACAATTCATCAACAATAATCTGATGTTGACTCATCAAAATGAAACAATGAGATTTCTTCAACACAGTTAGAGATCTGATTGAAGATCATCAGAAAGTAAGATTCAACATGATTGTGAGATGAGCCTATAAATTTCCTTTCATCATTATACGGGCAAATTTCCAGAGTCTGTTTGAGTTAAATACCTTTGTAGTAATGATCAGTTTCCTGGGTTTTAATATCTCTACTGAAAACAAAGAGTCACAGAAGATTTATTTGAGCCCAGATGAGGTGAAAATATCAGTGAAAGCTAACAATATTCATTTAACTTGAAATATTGAGTTTGATAAAGGGAGCCAGAAATGACATGTTTTAGGATGGGAATTGCTTTTGTTAAAACAGTTATATGGATCTTAGTCCTCAAAGGCTCTAGTACTTTGGAAAAAAAGGAAATATGTTGAGCTGATTGGATGGATATATTGTAAATCATAACACTAAAAGCACAACCCAGTTTCTTGGCGAAACTGGATTAAACCCTTAAGGCCTTAAGATGCCGTTTATCTAAGCACTTATGTGGCACTTCTACGCTTTCATACCCCAACTTAGGTGTCCTACTGCCTCTTACCCCTGACCCAATCCTCATATCTTTGAGCCACGCGGCATCCATCTACAACAGTCTTCCTTGCCAATTACTCCTCCTCTCTATTTGTTTCAGGACTAGCCCACGTTTCCACCTTCCATTGGTTCGTGCCACGCTGCCACGACATGCGAACTCGTTCCGAACACACACCGCGTTCTTGCCTGGCTTAACATCCTTACCCGAGATTTCCCTTTCACGTTCCAGATTTCAGGTTATGAGGGCCAACTGCCACAAATTATTACTCGAATCGACCATTTTCAATCTTACGAACAGTCAGCATGCTTATAGTCATACTTTCCGTCCACCACGCGCAGCCTACCCAAACATCCGAGTTCACGTCAAGACTGCAGTTCCAACGTACGACTTTAGCCCACGATATGTTTTCACAGCGACAGTCTTATCTGTCAACATATGATCCTCAAACATTGGATCATGGCGATTGGGGGCATATAGTTTTAATCACCTTTCAAAGCATAAAACCCAAGCCCGCCGAGGTTAACCGTTCGTCCCTGTGACTTCTATAGGATCATGCCACCAAAACTATTGACATCACACTCCCCTGTGCCTTACTTTCCTAGGGTCCCACAAATTCCAGTTGAGGTGATTGAACGCATCATTCAAGAATTCATATCCTCGAGACCTGTCATTGGCCCCGACCGCACTAATTGCACTGACGTACTATCATTGCATCATTCATGCATGAAAAAAGAAAAAAGGAGACCAGGTTTTTTTGCCGAGACTGAGCTGGCTCAGAGTATGTTTTCACAGCGACAGTCTTATCTGTCAACATATGATCCTCAAACATTGGATCATGGCGATTGGGGGCATATAGTTTAATCACCTTTCAAAGCATAAAACCCAAGCCCGCCGAGGTTAACCGTTCGTCCCTGTGACTTCTATAGGATCATGCCACCAAAACTATTGACATCACACTCCCCTGTGCCTTACTTTCCTAGGGTCCCACAAATTCCAGTTGAGGTGATTGAACGCATCATTCAAGAATTCATATCCTCGAGACCTGTCATTGGCCCCGACCGCACTAATTGCACTGACGTACTATCATTGCATCATTCATGCATCACTCGATTGCTCGACTTACGCTTGGTTGCTAGATCATGGGACATTGCCATTCTTCCCGTTGTTTTTGACAGACTCCGCTTGACTCGTAATGAGATGACTCACAGCCTTACACGTACTTGGAACGAGTTTTACATCACTCCTGGCCTGCCTCGATTACGACACCTCTATTTGGACGGATTGTACCATTCACAACCTCCCTCGCAATCTCCCACCAACGAGACGACAACAAACCTGCCTCCATCACATGTATTTTCTATCTCGCCAGAGAATGCGGCCTCAATCATATCGCTGTGCCGCAGAACCTTGATCCAATTGAAATTACGCTTCACAGGACACGTTGGGTTTGTTCCGGTGTTGCGGAGCGCTCTCCAGCTTGCAACTGGTCTCCGCGCGCTGCAGATTGAAAGTTCGGCTTGCCGAGGTACTATGCACGATTTGCAAACGATCAAGCTCGCGCTTGAAACTACGTCCTTGCTCAAATCCTTATCCCTCAAACTTTCACCATTACCGTCAATGAATTTGAACCACGATTCTCTGCCCCATTTACGACATTTTTGGCTAGACTGCGACCTTGGCAATATTGACGTTGGAATTGATATTTTCCGTTCAAGTGTTAGACGAATCAGTTGCCTCGAACTGTTTACCCATGGAGAGTGTGACGCTGCCGGGCTCATCACCTTAGAACTTAAGGCATCGCTCAAAGTTCTCTTCATAATTTCCATCCCTGACCGGGTCCCGGCGGCACTTCAAAGCACGACTTTTCCCAAACTTCGGGTATTGCGTAGTGAATATTGTCACCCAATCCATTGGGATCTTGCCTGGCTAGAATGGCCACTGTTACGAACGATCGAGGTTTTCGTCACGAGTTACTGGCACGGCAGTGTTTACTGGCGCAGTATCTTATCTTTAACAACGCTTCCGATTTACAAATGGCCTCAAAAGCTTAAGCACATCATTTGTGTAATACCCGAAAACACGACCATGTACGATCTTGATTTGGTGGCAATGTTTGAAAAAGTGAAAGTCCAATGCCATTTCATAGTTCAGCCTACAGAGACAGATTTACAGGTGTGTCATGTTTATGATTAAGAGCTTTTCGGCACAGAGTCTAACATTATTTCTGTGTTAGAATCTAGCGGACTTGTTGCAAGATTGAAGACGAGTCGCACTGCACGCGGCTTATTGTAGGTGCAAACGCAAAGGTAAGGGACCTCTGTTATTAACAATCCTTCTGATCAAAGCTTGGCTTAATAGCCTCGCCATCAATCCCAACCGCATTGCTTCTCTGATGCCATTACTCAATCACTGTTTCGAACAAATGCAGCTCGCCAGGTTATCCTTAATATCCGAAAGTCAAGACAGGTGATCAGACCAAATCCACTTCAGACCCTTCCCGAGCCATGCCATTCGTCATTGTAATTGTTGCTACATGGCCCCACCCAACCACTATGTTGTATGTAATGCGGGCTTGATTTAGAGGCCGAGGTATTCAAGGCACTAATTTGAAACTCGCACAAAATGTGCCCCTTGATCAATGCTCCTCGATTGTATTCTGATATTGTATCCCTCACGGTACTTGACCCTTATAAAGTCCGAGGTGCCTCGTGCCGTTCGCATCATCGTTAGGTTGTCATTATTGATGTTGATATTGAAGTCATGCTTAGTGTCTCCGGCTCTGCAAAGGCTCAAAGTTAAGGCTACACGCATCTTTTACGCGTGCAATTTTTAAGCTATAGCCCAGCGACTTTTACCTGTGCAATCTTTAAGGTATGGCGGAGAAGCCTGACAGGCCAATGTCATAGAACACATTTTGACATATCAAATGGTCCTCTGAGTTCTTATTTTTGAAAAACATGGACGGGGCATGTTTGTTGGTCAATCCCAGAAAAAGAGTATGGTACCTTTAGCGGAGCCCCTTTTCGGGTCTCCTGAGGTGCGAACTTTCCGTGCCTCCTTTCTCTACGCTGTTGGCATACACCAAAGCTCAGCTTCTCACACTAAACGGGTTCCTGCGCAACAGGGACGCAAAAACCCAGATGAACCTTAAATTTTAGAGCGAAACTATTCATAAGTGGTACCGACTCAACGCTGTCTCAACAATGCATAGCACGCCACACCGTGCGCCTCATTCAGCAATCCGACTTCACCAGGGTCTATTGTGCCTATGCACAAATATTCAGCTTTCGGTTATTTAGCCAGACTTGCGGAAGCGTGTGTCGCTCACGCTATATGCATGCACCTTCCAACTTCGCCTCCGTGTCGGTCCATTTCCCAAATGGATCAACGCGGCATGCACACACGAGATGAGCGCTTGGAGATTCAAAATACGGACCCCCTAGCGAGACACGGGCCCGACCTACACTCCCATATCGCATGGTACGGTCAAATTTGCCAACCGATTCGGATATTAATTTCAATCTTGAAAGGCTTCGTTTTGTTTTCATTCAGTCCATTCCAATGCCGAACGTGCTAAAGCTATGATAAAAAATTCAACAAGTTTTCTTCCGGGTAAGTCATCCACCGTATAGCCTCAACCAAGGACATATCTCTTAACCT